TGCAGGCTTAGCACTTCTACCTCAAGCTGCTCAACACAAAGCAAACAGAAATAATTAGGAGCATCTTTTAATGGCTTTTGAATGGTTCTCTACTAGTTGTTTTTCAGTCCTGAGAACAGAGAAGTATTTCAGCTGGCAGTCACAAGTCTGTGGAAACTGATTTTTCTGAGTTGTTTCATTGAGCTTTGCTTTTCTTTATACTCTACTGTTTTTTCTTCTCCTATTGTTACATGTTAGAAAGACTTACCTAGGAACACAGGACTATGAAAAGCAAGTAAATCAGGCAATAAGACGTGACTACTGAAAGGGACTCTAGCTCTGACACAATGAAGACAGACTGCATTATATCCTGGTTTTCATTTTAACAAATAGTTCAGTTACCATAAGTAGATTTCTGTTTCTAGACCAATGTGCACTTTAATAAAAAAGAAGGTAGATTTTATTTTTAAAGTCAAAGAAAGGAAGGTCCAAAAAGTGTTATAAACCATGAACTGATTATGGGAAAGACCCAAGTGACCTTAACTTACATATTTTAATGTAATAATCTCTTATAATAGTGGGGTGTATGTATGCAGGTGTACTTTTTGTGTAATTATGACACAGTATGTGTAAACTACTAATGACTGTTCATGAGGTATTTGAAAATCCCTTGGAATGTTCTTGTAAAACTTTGGGATGGCTCTTTTCCAGTATTATAGCTCAGGAAATCTCCATATGTATCTTCATGGCAGGTGGCCTTGGAACTAGATGATCTTTAAGGTCCCTTGCAACCAAACTGTTCTATGATTCTATAATTTGAAAAAGCTCATAATTTAGAAATAATATGTGGTCTGAAGATAACCGCGTTGATGATGATGATAACCATGATAATGATATAGTATTACAATAATGGCATAAACAAAGGAAGAAACCTCAGCAAAAGCCAGCATTTGCCTTTCCCAGCGGATTCCCACCTTATAATTGCTCTCTACTGAAAGATGCCATCAATGATGAGGTTAGCTGCAAGATCAGTTGTAGACCAGGATCAAGGACTCCTGGGGACAAAACTAGAAATTAAAGGAAACTTCAGGAAAATATACTCTCCCAAACTTGTGGATCAAACTGAGCTGAAAGTTTTGGGTATCCCTGACATTCACTGGGAATCTGTCCACTTTTTGATGTCACTTTGATGACACTTTAGACACTTTGATATCTAAAAGGTTGCTTTTATCTATTGCATATGCAAGTAAAATAAGAGCTGCAGAAATCCTTTAACACCTGTGAATGGCCTTTGACTTAAGCAGGAGGTCTCAGCAGTTTTGAACAGCCAAAAAGAGCCCGTTCAATGAACCTGCAGATCTACTAGAAGAAGGACAGAGATAAAACATAGAAGATGAGCAAATGGACACCAGTAAGAATTGCTTATTCTGGGATGAATCTCTTGAGTTGATAATACTATTAGACTGTGGCTTAGTCTGTTACTCTGAAATCTCGCTTTACAGCTATCTTCTTCCTTTCAAAAAAGAAAGGCTTTTTTTTCTAATAGTTACATTTGGGCTTTCTCCCATATACCTTCTACAAAAACATACAGCTATCTCAGTGAATCACGAATTTGGATATTAATTCGATGTACACTTTGATTATTTTGAGCTTTCCATCCTGAGCATTACAAATACATCTATCTTCTCAGAACTAAATTCAGCTTTGAGTTGTAGTTTCAGGATCAGGTAAAACTCAAGGCTCTTCTGGACATCTGTCACTGTGTGTTCGGGAATGCTCACAGTATAATTTGATTCAGAGAGTATTGAGAATCCTCCACTATGTATGGAGGATTCCAATATGAATTGTATCATACTCAGAAATAAACCTAAGCAGACAAAAAATTTTGCCCTTTTTCCCGAGGATTTAACGATAGACTGTATTTTATCTTTAAGAGGAGAGAAAACTTACATAAGGGACTTTGAAAGAAGCACCTCACAGTAGCTTATTTCTGATAAATGTCTGAGCATCATATAATGCTTGTATAAGCATTGTCATATAAGACAGCAAAAGAATATCTATGTATAAGCAGCTTACTACATGGTGCAACTCCAAAGAGAATAGAAAACTGATATTTAATTTAATGAATCATGTTTTAGGATGAAAGATGCATTAATTTCACTCATCATTCTTTTAGATGAAAGAACCTTGTGTGATGTAATGTGAGTGTTATGTTACATGATAATTGAAATCGAGTAATAAACAAAAACAGAAAGCAAAAGAATTTCATCACTTTGCAGAGCTATCAATACAAAAAAATGTGCCATGTCAACTAATTAGATCCACATTCATGAAAACAACCTCTCATCCCTCAGGCAGTCTGAACTGTATAAAAGCTCTCTCCACTCAGGGTTCTTCCAACCACTTCTCTTCACTCGTTCTTCTCAGTGAATTGGGTAAGTCTGAATCTGCTCTTCACAACTATTGCAATAGCTCTTTGCTACACAATTTAATCTAGAATGGCCTCTTCCATTAAGAACTAGCAGGTAAAATTTTAGGTGAAAAGCTAAAGCTTACAAAAACAATTAAAACCTTTATGGATAGCCATTCTCTGCATTCAGGGTTGGCATTTAATTTCAAAGCAAACTGAAAGTTTCTTGATATGGTAGAAAATTAAGTTCATTATTAGGTCACTTCCAACAGCTGAAGAAATGATATGACTAGTTCAGTATGCATTCCTCTTCTCTGTTTGTCTATATGGGTAACTGGAAATTATTTGAAAATTTTATATCTTCATGGTTCACAGGAAAATGCTGAGCTTAGAAAGAGACGTTCCATTATCTCCAGCTTATTCTACCAGAGATCACTCAAAGTGCTTTTGCACTAATTCAGGATAAATGGGCATGAATACTGCTAGAGATCAGGCACTGGCTTAGATAGAGTAGGACACGGAGAGGAATTGAGAGCTGTTGAAAATGCTCTCTAGGAAATTTATTTAATTAAGACAAAGAGGGGTCATGGAGGGAATTTAAGGAGTTGACAGGTGAAGTGCTGGGTTTTTCATGTTAATGGGGGCAAGCTGTTTGAGGTGAGACTACTTCAAAAGAGTTCGGAGCCCAGAATCAAAGCACTGTGTTGTTAAACTAGTAGTAAATATCTCAGTGCCCTGATTGAATGTTTGGAAATTGGGGAAAATAATCTTTGCAGTTCCCTTGTAATGGTCTCATCAAACAGGTTACTGAGCAAATCTGAATAGAAAATTACTTATAATCCCTGTTCTGATGAGGCTCAGCACAAAGGAGATCAGCGGGAATGAAGAGTTAGTCATGAAATCATGCATAACAACACACTCCGTTCTTGGAGTCCCAGTGCTTGCTGACTCACTGAGCAACTAATTTTGCTGTTCTGCTTCGATTTTCCTTTGCAATAGACATAGGTAAATTGGTGGACTTCAAAGCACTCTTGTCTGACAAGAAGCAGCGAACTTTATAGCACTTTTATGCATGTAAATAATGTCTTTGTGCTTGGTAAAATCAGCTCCTGTAGATTGACCTCCATCCCTGCGAGATGTCTTGCTACGACCTGTGCTCCACTGCTGTTGGTGGCATCAACCGCCCCCAGCCCCTCGCTGACAGTGGGAATGAACCATGTGTCCGTCAGTGCCCTGACTCCACGACTGTGATCCAGCCACCCCCAGTTGTCGTCACCTTCCCCGGCCCCATCCTCAGCTCCTTCCCCCAGGATTCGGTTGTGGGATCCTCTGGAGCACCCGTCCTTGGGGGCTATGGGGGCTCCCTTGGCTACGGGGGTTATAGCTCCTTGGGCTATGGGGGTCTGTATGGCTATGGGGGCTATGACTCCCTGGGTTATGGGGGTCTGTATGGGTATAGGGGCTCCTCCCTGCCCTATAGGGGTCTGTATGGCTATGGGGGCTCCCTGGGTTACAGGGGTCTGTATGGCTATGGCAGATCCTATGGTTCTAGCTCTTGCAGCCCTTACTCCTACCGGTACAGCAGGTACAGCCGTGGCAGCTGCGGGCCCTGCTAAATCCTACAGAAATATTCCTTGACTAAAGAATAACTGGCAAACACATGATATAATCTTGATCCTCAGCTGAGATCCTAAGTAAGGGGCAGAGTATCAAAGACTTCCACTTAATACAGTGGAGTCAGAATAGCTCCATAAATTACACTTCTCATTTCGTTCTTCATTTGTTTCATCTCCTCTTCCTTGCCCCTGCCGGTGGTCAAATGTGTAACTCCACCACCATCTCGGAGGACACTTGCTTCTCCCTGAAACTACCAACACCTGGGAGAAGCCTGACGGAACACCTCTCGACGCCCGCGGCGACAGCCTGCCTGCCCCTGCCTTCCGTCTCTTTCTCCAACGGGTACTTCCGTAGCCTCCAATAAACCAATCCTGCATCCAACACCTGCCTCTCTGTTTTTCCTCTGAGGGCTCAGCTTGGGCTGCAGGGCTCCCTCGCCCTGCACATGGCCCCCACCAGCCGGGCCAGGGCTGAGCTGCCTTTTGGGAGACCCCACAGCCCTGGCCACACACAGTCCTGATGCTAAGAAACCTATCTGCCCAGTCTTTCATCGCTACTAGGCTGAAATTACAGTCTTTCCTACGCTAATTATTCTAGTTGTCAGGTCTCCAATAGTTAGTCCTCTTTGTTTCGGTTTGGTGGGGTTTTTTTGCACTAATTAATTCAGCACTGGAATTCTTTTTAATTTCGCATCTTCCCAGATGATGTACTAGAAATCATCAAACTGTGTTCAACGACAAAGTGAAAAACCATGGCCTGAAGTTCTGTCAAAGCATATTCTGAAAAGGAACAATAGGAGGAAGGTAAACAATGGGAAACAATTTTTGAGATAGGTATCTGATGAGTGAAGATCATGCACTACCTCTTTTTTTGTTAATCACCGCTGTGATAACAGTTGCCTCAGGGGAGTTTTGGCTGAGTCTGTAAGTCAGCTGGGGGAAGTAAAAAGAATATGAACTAATGCATTGCAGAGGATTTACCTGTTACTTCACTGAGACTCTTTCAAAGAAAAGCTCCACGCACGAATGTATGGCTTCTTGACCTCAGTCCTGTGTCAGTGTCATGGAATAGTAAGTCTGACTTTAAAAGGCAATTTCAGTGTTCCCCCCCGCCCCCTGAAATATAACTGGATATGTCAGATGGCTCTGTGCTATAAGTATTAAGAAGTTTAAATGAAAATTATCCTATGGTACTCATGAATCTTGCTTTTATTTTAAGAAAATACTATTTTATTTTTACTGGTTAACAAATACCAAGAATATTTTGACCAGAAAAAGTCATTCACTGAAAGGTTCTCCTATCTCTGCCTGCTTAATCCCTGTCCCACCATTGCCGGCCCTCATGGCCTTGGGATTTTTGGGAAAGGTTTAAGGGGGTCTGGGAAGGGACTGGAGCTTGCAAGGTCCATCTGAGAGCCCAGCTCCTGCCCCTTGAGTGCCTGGGATGTGTGAAGAGCCCGGGGAGCTGAGGTGGAGAAGAAAGGCTCCTGCCTTTTGGGCATGAGGAAACATCTCCCTGTCCCTACTACTGCTCTCCATCCTCACATGGCTTGAGGCAAGGACACTGCTGCCATGAATTCCCAGGAGCTCAGCAACCAACCCGCTGGCTTGTGTCGCACCAGCTCTGCATCTCCTCGGCTCAGGTACCTCTCTTGTGCTGGGCAAAGCCCGCTTTCCTCCCAGCTAGTTCAGCCCAGGAACAGCTTTTCAGAACACAGATCCCTGATTTCCTCTCTGTTTCTCTCGTACGCAACACCAGGATCCTCGCTCTCACACGCAGCCTCGAAGAGGTACTTCAGTGTACATCATACATGGTCACAGCCGAGCACCTAAGCTCCAACAGCCAACTTTTCCACCGATTCTCTTGATGAGGCAGGGTCAGGCAGGCAGCAGCCAGCACCCGATTAGAGGTATATTGCGTCAGACGGCAAGTACCGAGCCCAAGAAAACAAGATTGGTGAGAGCTATTAGTACCCAGCTAATGTGATTGCGTAGCTTCTATTTGGGCTGGGTGCCTGTTCAGGGTGAGCTCATGTCTGATTGCAAAACAGCACGCAGAGGTACATTTTCTGTCAGTATCTAATGTTATATGGGATTTATAGGAATGGAGGGAGTTTACTACATTGACTACTCAAGGATCAGTCTCAGAAAACCTCTAATTATTTGTTTGCATTAACGGTATTGACACATAATTTGGGAGCACTCTGTTTCATGTGCCGATAACATAAAGCCGAGTGGCACTAAAGAGGAGGGAATTAGACTTTAAGACTGGAAAAACAAGATGGTTTAACTGATAGGAGTAATGCTAACGGTGTGATTTCAGTAATACACTGCAAAGCCATGTGCCTGCTGACTGCAGAGAAAAGATCTGGTGTAACACAGGTTATAATCAGAAAGAAGTGACAGAAGAGGAAAAATTCTCTGAGTAGCCCCAAATAGGTGATTGTAATGTATAGGGAGATTGCGTGCTCTTGAGTGAATCCACTGTAAATACAGAATACCGGAGAGTAGTGGTAATACAAGAAGGCATTGTGAAAACCAGGGGAAAACCACACCCAATTTCCCTTTTACTGCCAACATATCAGTACTTTTCCAAAAGACAGGGTGAATCTAAGAAATTTGAATGGCAGTAACCTTAAATTAGCTAGTCTGACACGTACCACAGTAAGCAGTAAAATAGTGTTGTGGGATGGGTCATCTTGAGTTAAACTAAGAAAAAGATGATCTGTGTTTGATTTTGACCCCAAGGGAGTTACAAGTCCCCTGAATGTAATACAGTAGCAGCTTTGCAGTTTTGGAGAGTGAGAGCGCAGCATCACGCCTTCTTAAGAAAGACTGTGAACGGTAGCTAAGAATCCACCCTCTGTAATATGAATATTATGTTTCAAATATATACCTCTACATATATTTATTTATGTAAATAAGCACACATTATGAAAGAAGCATCTGTAATCCAAACACCTGCTCCCAATTCATTGCTAAACTCCTATAATTGAAAATTTCCTCTCCCCAAATAATGAAATTACTTTCCCCTAGGTGACTACCACTCATCCGGAGCAACAGAGGGAGAAATCAGAAATTGCATCTTCTCTTGTAGGTGTGCATACACCAGTTATGTCCCATGTTCAAATATGTAATGATCAGCATTTATCCTACCACAGCTGCTGGGCCAGAAATTTAGATAACGAGAGACGGAGACACGACTTGGATGCAGAAAAACTTTATTGTGCCCAGAGAGGCAGCAGAGACTGTCAGAGAGACGGTGGGCAAGACCGGGAGAGGCTGGTTGCCAGGTGTGGCGGGAGGCAGAGGAATCTTCTGCAAGGCATCAGTTCTGACTCCCGATGCCCCCTTGGTGCGGCATTCCAGATCCCGAGGACTTGGCCCGTCAGCCCCGCAGAGCCTTTCGGGTGCACGTGCTGCCCCGTGCGAGAGCTGGGAAGAGAGGGGAGGGGAGAGGAGGGCAGGAGAAGAGGGCAGGGGAGGGCTGAGGGTGTGCGGCACTGCCAGTTGTCCCAGCGTTGTCAGGGGCTGTGGATGCTCAGCACTGCTCAGAGCCCTGTGCCCACCAGCTCAGCCCTCCATGGGTGGTGGTAGCGTTGGCGCTGGCGTTTGGGCTGGGGGCAGCGCGTGGGGCTGGGCTGGGTCTAGCAGGGCCCACAGGTGT